CGTGATGGGCAACAGACTGCGACAAAGTACTTGCATGTTTTATGAGCTCTCAAATGATGCACAAAACATGATCAAATCATTTGACGTTGACATCGACGCCGACGACAACGCCAACGTTGCCGTTATCATACACCATCTCCTGCTCTTGCTGTCATGCATCACAAATTGACTTAAAGCTGTTACGCGCTTCGCTCTCCTAATTGCGCTACGGATTTGAATAATATGATTACCAGCAGGATGGGCAGTGGCGCTTCTTTTGACATTAATTGAATATGCTTGGGCGTTTGATATGGGTGGGATGGCGAGTGGGACTTGGAGAGACTTTTCGATTGGCAGTTGCTCAAAAGAGAATATTTTGAGAAATTCCCAAAGTTGCCAACAAGAATGTGCTAAATTTGCACTCGAAGATTTTATATCACGACAGGGTGTTGGCCTCCAGTGCAGCAGCTGCCTCTGCTATGGCAGCGGACTCTTCTTGGCACTGGAATGCAATCAATTTGCAAATTTTCGCTACTTTGCCGCGTTTGCAAATGTTCAAGTATTTGGCTCCTTAGCATTTTTTGTTTTTGTTTTTTTTTTTTTTTTTTTTTTTTTATCCTTTTGTTGCTGTTACCGGTTACCCCAGCCGCCTTTTGCCATATATTTTGTGTGTGTTTTTTTTTAGCCTTTCTACACTTGAGCGCATCGAACGGCTGTCTGTCTATGTTGTCTGTATGTCCAGAGACTTGCTTCTCAGCTTTGTTCAGGCAGCCAGCCAGACCCATGGGGCTATGCAAATGATGCATGGCTGGCTCTCAGCTCCAAGCTCCAAGCTCCCAGCACCAAGCTCCTGCCCCAATGCTTTGTTTGCAGCACTCGCCTATGTCTGGGTCGTGTTTTGGCCAAAGGTGCTGAGCTTGGCAAATGGCGTTGTAATATTCGTTGCAATTGAATATTGCACAACTCACACTTAGGGCGCGGCTCGAGCCAAGTTATCGGCAATGGCCCGTTGTTCATTGGCCAACAGTTGCATCTTTCGAAATGTAGGCCCTGCGATTCTTAGCTCCAACATACCTTGGCTTGCAACGTAGCCATGTCTTTCGATCAGAGTCTTTTTGCTTGCAACATTTTGCCTTTTTTTTCTTCTATCCATGGCCATGTGTAAAATCGACAAATAATGGATGCTGCCTGTGCCGTTGCCTTTTGCACTGGCTTGGCGTGCTGGCAATGCGCATTTGAATTTCAATTGAATTGAATTCTTTGTGCTGCAGCGCATATTCTGCAGTGCCAATGTGGTTGCATGGCAATATAGATTCCCTCAGTGTTATGCAAAGGAATTTCTAATGGATAAATGTGCCTCAGCGTGGGGCACCAAGGAAAGGATACGTTCGCTCTCTCCCAGCAGGCGCCAAAATATGTTGCATACTTTCAATCGGCCAACTTGAAATTGCAATTAATAAAATGTTGCAAGGCGGTATTTGCGATAAGCCATAAAAAAGTTAAGCTAATAAACGACTTCAAATACTCGGAATTAATATGGCCATTAATTGCCTAGAATCCAACTCTCTCACACACGCTTTCTCACACTGCTGTTCGTATTAGTCTGGCATTTTATTTTGTATATTTGAAATAAATTATTCTGCTCACTCATCAGCATTTTGCGCTGTTATAAACACGTTTTTAATTAAAATTGCAAAAACAGGGAAAAGTAGATGGCGGCAATAAAAGCAAAAAAAAAAAAAATAAAATAAAATAAGCACACACAAACCGCTTGCTACTGCATGCGAGTGTATGTGTGTGTGGGAAAAAAGAAGAAAAATGTGATGGCAGCAACTTCAATTAACAGAAAATAAAAGGCAATTCCAAGCAGAACAAAGCACTGAGCAGCAGCAACAGAAACCAAACAAAGCTAACAGACAGATAAACGGACGACAGACAAAAGTTGCCATTACTGTTGCCGCGTAGGTGAAGAGTGTGGGTGTGTGTCTGAGTGGGAGGGAAGGTAAGTGGCAAGCAGAGCATGTGCCATGTGGCAGGGGCCAGGCTGCACAGAGCGCAACAGTTTTAGTGATAAAATGGCAAACACGTAATCATGCCAGGCAGATAAATGTGCGTGTGGCGCGGCCTCATACTCAACCTGAGTTGAGGCACAGCAACAATACGCACACACACACACACATATGGCTGTGACACATGGCGCTGCCTATGCCAACGACATCCACGCAATAATAAACTGGCAAAGAGAAAAATAAAATACGAATACACGTCGCATTCATTGCGATTCATTAATTTGACATTCACGTACCACAGAGACCACACACTCATTCACCCACACACAGAGTTGCATAAGTGAGTGGCATGGCAGGCCCCTACAAATTTGTTTACAATTTGAACAGCTTTTGTTGCCAATCGAATTATTTGCTAAGCATTTGCCAAACAACACGCTGAAAGATGAGATTTAAATTTAAATTTCTCTCTACTCATTGTTAACTGGAAATTTTGCCAAAGCACACACAATGAGCTTTTATTAACATCGTCGTATGTGTGTATGTGTGTGTACATATTTGTAATACTTTGACGCCTCACGTGCCAAATGAATTGGCTGCTTGTCAAGTTCTTTTAGTTGTTTCGCTTGGCCTGGTTCTTGGCGTCCTTCGTACCATCAAAATTGTTCTCACGTCTAGACATAATTTCTTCAATCATTTATTACCTAATTAAGTGGAAGTATAAATGCTAAGCTCAGCCACCCAGCAGCGCTGGCAAAGTGGGCGTGTCCGGGCATTCAGGGTCGAACTGGCAACTGTTTTTGTGCTTCGTTCATACATACTCCATGCTCAGTTCCAATCTCTGTTGGCCCAGCGCCTTTTGTGTATGTGAATTAACTGGCAACATTCCAATGATTGACCTTTCTCTCTCACGAGTGTGTGTTGCTGTGTATGTGTGTGTGTATGAGTGACTGTGTTCTGGTTGAGTGTGAGCACTTGAGCTTAAGACTCGCCCTGAGCATAGCAACTGCCTTTGTCTTCGGCTCATCTTTTGTTCCATCTTGGCCAAGTCGGCGCAAAGGCAGGCAGGCAAGCAGCCAGGCAGGCATTGTGTGCATTTTGTGTTTTCTGCTGCCGTTGTTTGTGGCTTTGTTGTTGCTGTTGTATCTTTTCTTGTGGTTATTCTCAACAAACTGCCGCTTCAATTGTTTTCTTTCTCCTCGCTTTTTTGGTGCTTTTCATTGTTTGGCCATTGTTCGCTTTTGGCTTGGCTCAATTGTGTCACAGTTTTGATCGCTGTATGGCTTTTTGGAGGTCAATAATGAAGTGCACGGCAAAAGAAGCTGACAGCTAGATAAAAAAGAACTGGAAATATCACTCTTCTTCTAGATATCTAATATTTGCATAAAATGTAATAAATTTCATGACAAACTAAAAGTTCAAACTGAAGCCGAACATTAAACAAGTATTTTTATTAGGTTCACAGTGCTGCTCATTAGTTTATACCCATGTGGTTCCGAGCGGGGTATGCATATCTGCATTTGCTCAAATCTATCTTAGTTTTCCTATTGATACTTACTTGTTCAGAACTTTCTTCAGCATCGCCCAAATCATTGTGCTTCGCTTTTATTATTTTCCATAATTTTTTATTATTAATTTGTTGTTTGTTTTTGTTTTTGTGTTTGTCTTTTACAATGCTTTTTCATTATTCATTATAAATATGCCACGATGCGGTCTGCATAGCTGCTGGTTGCCTCACGGACTTCGGTTCACATAGTCTTATGTAAAGCCCGTGACATAGTAATACATCTATCTCTTACTTAAGTACTACATACCATAGCATATTTATCTATATTCTATATTGTGTTCCGTTTAGTTTGCTGTCGCTAGGCTTAACTTGAATTCCTCAACTTATTTGATATTCCTCATGCATATTTTATGTACTTTTTCCATTTATTTTATTTTCATTTTCTGTTCTCTTCTTCTTTTTTTCTTTTTGCTATTATTTAACATAGGGTTCTGCTACGTTTATCTATGTAGCTTCTTCCTTAACAGTATTGATCTAGCTGCGGTTTTCTAGACATTTTCTTTTCCATTGAACGGTACTTTACATTGTAGCTGCGCCTCGTGCTGTGCTGCCCCGAGAGCACAATGACAAAGTAAAAGGGACATAAACAATAATCGAATTGTTAAAGCGGTTAGATTTACATATATGCAGATATCAGAGGCTGCAATGCAGATTGGTTGTCTAAGTACTCTTTCTGCGACATTCGAAGTGGGCAAACAACTTCCTTAGAGATTGCAGCTAGGTACTTAGGATACTTATGCGAAAACTGTCTGACAACGGCTTTAAGCATTCTCTGCTTTGGGATTGATAATTAACTTTAAATTCGTCTAATATTAAATAGCTACAAGCTGTTCTATAAGCAGGTTCTCTCTTTAAAGGTCGCTTGCAATTTGGTGGCCTAGGGAACTATTCGAGTGCATTGTAATTTCCCGATAAATATATATATAGTGTATATATATCTATTTATTTAGGTATATTTATTTAGGATATATAATTCTCTCATATGTATCGTAATGTATTTGCATTTAATTGCTGCTTTTAGGTATTTAATTTTTGCTATAATAGTGTCAACAGTGGTATAACTAGTAAGCTAATCGATATTCGGTAATCGATAATCGATAATCGTTAATCGATAATCATATGAATTACCCAAGGTTGGTTTTATTTGTATTTGTTTTTTTTTTTTTTTGTGACTAGTATTCACTAACTGAAGCGTAGGCTAGGGTGCACCAATAGCGTTATAACATATAGTATAGTATAGGTATACGAGTATATTTAGGTATATCAAGTTAGCATGTACTATATATATATATGTAATATGTATATATATATATATATATATATGTATATATATAAATATGAATATGTAACACATACGTTATCTATATGCATTAAGGAAGACATTTTTTCATGATTGTGACCATTTCTTCAGCGCACTTTACACTCTACACTTGACACGTTCACGCTCATCAGATGCATATGTATTCGGGTGTGTGTGTCTGTGTGTGTGTTTGAAATAGCTTAACGTTTTGCTGCAATGGTCAAGCTTAGACTTTAAGTGTGTATGTTTGTGTGTGAGTGTGTTTGTGTGTATTACTGAGTGTCTCAGAAACACTCACTTAATATTCATAGAATTTACGCATTTATAATTTTCTATACGTACATATTCACAAAATCGAATAGTTTTTACATAGTTTATTAAGGCGCAACTGAAGTTCGGTTCAATGTACAATTATTTTCTTTATACTGTTGTTGCTGCTAGGGTAGATCATAATAGTTATTATTTATATATTTTTATTATTATTTCCTTTTAGTTTCGATTAGTTTTCATACTTAGACATATCGTTGTGTACATATGTATATAGAGGTATGTACAAAGGGTTAGTTTATACGACATTCTGTGTATATTTAGGTGTTCACATTGATATGTACTGTTAGTATTTGATAGAACGTAATTTATTCTTGATTTATTTACAGCTTGGGGAAGAGCCAACTCAAAGGATTGCATGATATGAAACCTCTTTAAATGAAGACACAGAACAAAATATCAGAGCAAACACATTTAATGTGCAGTAAGAATTAAGAACAATTACTTAAATACTCAGCCATGCAAAGTATAATTGGTAATGAAACCGTAATTCTCTTCATGCCACGAAACGCTGCATATTGTGTGGAAAAGTTTGAAATAAATTATCAATTATATTTCACATGTCCAAATTTAATTATCAGAAGCGGAAACGTATGTGCGCAAAAGATGTTCGCACCTCGAAAAAAGAAGAAAATAATTAAATAATAAAAAAGTGGAAAGCCCGTTTATTGTGTATACCCTAGCAATGAATGCTACGTCTGCTATCAGGAGATTGAAAAAATTGCCAAAAAAAGTTAAAGATATCCCTTTGAAATTGAATAAATCGAGGATAAGTCTGAAAGAATAGCTTAAAATATTTCAAAGATATTAAATATATTTTAGTATGATCAGTTACTATTCTCGAGCGAGTTGAGCAAGGGTATTTCAACTGCAGCATGCCAATGACAATATTTTGTGCTTGTTTTTAATTGTGTCAACAATAAAACAATAATGGGACATAAAGTGTAAAACTGCAATTAACTCTGGGCTGTGTGCTGTAGAGATGATAATGAATGTTGAATGCAAGTAAATATACAAATATATATATATATATATGTATATTATATACTCTTTATCGTATAAAACACTAGCTACGTCAAGTGTGCTCTCCATATATATGTGCCTTAAGCACATATCAAGTCTATTTACAAGTTTCTGTCAGATGTCTTTCATTATCATTGTGTATATAGTTTAAACTCTAGCATTAGTAATTGTAGATAATTTCCATTAATTTTAAGATAATTATTATTTAGACAGCAGTTTCATTCCCTCACTTTTTTGAGTATGTAAAGTTAATCGTTATCGTTATCGTTATCGTTAGTCGAATGGTGTATCAAGTACTTAATGCCTCACAGATGTAAGTACGTATCAAAAAGTAAGATCGCATCTTCAAGTTAACAACAAAGCGCACAAAATATCTGCTAACCCCTAAAAGTATACAACACATTTCGCTAATTCAATATATCATATGTATATGTATATGTATATGTTTATGATTATGTATATGTATTTGTAGATGCCTAACACTAAACTAACTCACATTTAATGCTGCTGAATATTTGAGTATTATGCTCGTATAGGTTTCACTTTTTCTTCTTTTTAATTTTGTAGACATTTAGACATCGCACAGACACATACATTCTTGTTCCTATGTAGTACTCTCTAAATATATTTATATATATGTTTTAGTATAGTATCGTATTTGGTGAGCACTGCTCATAGCTAGACCCCAGCCCTTCGCCCCTTCGCTCCTTACACCAGCTTACAAATAAACTACATACAGTTCGTGAGCGCTGCAGCTGCTGCTTTAACTGCCGTGTCATGTTGAGGCAGTGTGCCAGCTGCGCGCATCGGTCATACGCAGCGTGCCACGGACGGTTATTGCCAGCGAGAGCAGCAACAGGGAGAACAGGCGGCTGGCCGCTGTCTGGCCACTGCGAGCGGCGCTCGTGCTTTCCGGCCAGACGACATCGACTTCGGACATTTTAAAAATGCTCAATAGTCGGTGGGATTGTAGCTCATTGTGCTCGGTGTTGATATGATGACTGATGGTCTTCAGTATCGAGGTGCATTCGTCCTGCAAGTGGCCAGATAAGCAAAGGTATACGTTTGAGTATAAGTAGCACTCGTTCACACCTGTGGCTGCTTAATGGAATTATAAAATTGAGCTACAAACCTTTTCACGTCGCAGCAGATCGATGTCCTTCAATTTGCCATCGTGCGGCAGCCGCGCTGCTATGATGATGTTCTCCTCGGTCATATTGAACAGCGTCAAAGTGCAATGTGTCTGCGGGTCAACAGCAACAACATATTGCAATTACCATGCATGGAAGTTAAAGACTTAGACAGGTGTGCTGCAAGCTTACCTGATTGTTAATGTAGGTTGTCACGTATTGTTGCAAAGCGCGCACAGCATCCTGCACCCCTAGATTAGTATGGGGTCGCAGCAGTGCCTCATCTGCGGCACTATAGCCCAGCAGCAAGAAGACGCCTCCTGCAAGTAGCAGCATGCCATAAATCTCAAAAAATTATGGAACACTATTGATTTACACAAATGCGAGTGAGAAAGAGAAAGAGAGAGCGAGGCAAGCTTTTACGTGTCTCTCGACTCAAAGAGGAAACAAAGTGCAGCTGGCTGAGCATACGAGTAATGTCTTATATTTTCCTTTCTTAAAGGTATTGTTAAGGGTTACCGCCACAGGCACTGGCTGCAGAATGAAACATACTTGTCAGCCGCGCAGCGTCATTGCCTGTCGCGGACGATAATCGTAAAGTGCTCAAGAGGAAACAGAGACAACGCGAGTAGCAGCAATGGAAGTAGTGCAGAAGCCAAGTGGAAATGACGACGGATCAAGCGCAGTGGGCGGACTCTACTAACCTGGCAGAATGTAGTCCCCAAGCGGTGGCTTCATGCAGATGAAGCGTCCCGAGTAGCAGAGGCAACGGCCGCGGAACGCCTGATAAGCCGGCGAGGCGTGACTGTAGAATGCCAGCGCGGTCCGGCAGGGCGCAAAGGGCACGCAGAGAGCGTGGCAGGTGAGTGTAAGCGATTCGCCGCAGCTGCACAGCTCGCTGCACTCGGCATCGTCCAACGAGTAGATCTGTAAGTAAAGCCGACATCCTATGAAATCCGAGAAATATCTTGGCCCAGACCTGAACCTAATTAGGCAACAAGCATTACATTAAGCATACGCCCCGCATGCAGCTGCAAGTTGAAACAATGCGAACACTAATTGCATTGCCGCTTGCCATAAAATTGTTGTTGCTGCCGGCACGTAGAGGCCAAGTGAAAAGAAAAGTGGCCAAAGTGCATTCACGTCGCAATGTTGTTGTCTTTGTTTTTGTTTTTGTTGTTTTGTAAATTGTTTTCGTTATTTTTTCGATGTCGTACATGTTGTTGTTCGGTATGCGCTACCATTTTCATGGCGTTGTTAAATGTGGTAATATCTTTTCGTTGGGCACGTGCCGGCACGTAAGCCATCCACACACACACATACATACACACACACACACAGCTTCAACTTGTTGTGTGCTTGCAACAAAAAGTTGCTTCGTTTGTTTTGTTTCGTTGGCTGCCGCTTTGCAAACTTTTAGTTATGCAAATGCATTTTAATAACACTTTCTGAACTTCCGTTGTGTGTAAAAAAAAAGCAATACATAAATAAAACAAAATAAAAAGAAACGGAAGGTTATATAAATTTCGCGGTCGTCCTAGAAAAAAGCTTACGGCATATTTTATTCAAATGAAAAAATGTTAATTGCCGCAAATTGTTGACGATTTGTGGCAGATACATAAACGTGCTGTCATTTACATAAAATATTGACTTTATACTATTAAATTGATATTTTGAATTTCGGTGCATTTGACTTACCCGCTTACTGCTGCCCTCGCGTATGAGTTGATCGCTCTGATGGGGCCGCTGCACCACACAGTTTCCTAAACAAGAAAGTAAAAGGAGAAAATTGAATGAGCACAATAACATTTGATGACACAAGCCTTTGGGCTTTAGCAATAGAATGTTCGAGAGGTGCAAATACCCTCCGATGACTGTCGCTTGCTTTATTCATCCATTCATCATGTGGTTTCATTAAAAGGAGGTGAGCCGTTTGCTCGGAAACGTGCCAGAAAGTTGTGTGTGTCCCCTGACTGCTGCTGCAGAGTGTTATCTGTTGTTGGAGAGTGTGCTAATTGCTGTGCTGTAGGCAAGTGTGAAAGGTTGGCCAACAATAAAAACTAACGAACCAGAGCCAGAGCACATTTAGTAGCACCCAGGGCATTGCTCACCTGGTCCGAAAATCATTTAGAAAACTTTCTTAATAAATCAGCCAGAAAATCTTATTTACATTTTTAATTTTTAATAAACATGTGGCTCAAGTGGTGCACTTGATGGCATTAAATAAATATTTGAGCAGTGTTAACAAAACAATTTATTTCACTGAATACTTTAATGCGGAAGCTTCAAATTGTTAAATGCTGATGTCAAGCGATTGAAGGACTGACACGACCGTCGGCCCGTCTGCCCTCCCGCACGATTTAAATCAATTATGAATGAGACATGCAAGCTGCACAGCCCGACGCTGTCCGGTGACTAAACAACAACAATTCATACAAAATGCACACGCAAATGTCCCAACGGTCTGAATAATTACAGCTTATACACATGGCTTCTATCTGTCCATCTGTGTTTGTGCATGTGTGTGAATTATTTCGGCGATAGACGTGTGGCAAGCAAACAAACTCATTTACATATTTAATGCAATTTGCAGACAGGTTTGCCGCCCAGCTGGACAATATAACGGAAGCATTTCATAAATGCGTACAAAAGAATCTGAGCTGAGCCGAGCATATCAGAGCACTTTATACCTAAGCTACAGTAGTATTTTGTAAATCACAGAAAATATTTTTTATATATATCGAGCTCTTAATCTGATTTAATATAGTCGCTTTATAATTATAGCAAATATTTTCAAACTTACAAATAATTGTCATGCGAGCATACTCATTTCCGGTTACACACACAGAAACACACACAACCTGATATTCATGCCAAGCTATATTTAAAGTGAAACACAGACACTATATCGAAATTCACAAATATATATAATTCGTGCTGCAAAGAGCTTCCGTTTCAATTAGCCGCAGAGCCTCATTAACCACATCAATTAAATTGCAAATTAAAAGCGAAAAAAATAATATTAGGGACCACATTATGAGGTTTGGTCGAGTTGGTTGTCTGCTCCCTTGGCACACGAGCTAATTGTGACAAAGCTGCCAAAACTTGAAATGACAATGCATTAACCAAATTTGTGGAGCGAACAGTTGGATGTAAAAAAAACTCTTGAAAGGCTCTGCTCATAAATGTAATAGGCATTCAAGCCGGAAGCCTGCTTACATGGCCAATAATCTCATTCCTGTTGCTGTATTGGCCGAGTTATCAGCACTCAACAGTCTGCGGTAATACGCATAATAGGGAGCCACGCCCACACCCACGCTCCACACCCTCCACAGACACACGCACACGCACACGCACACGCACACGCACACAAAGGGATCGCCCACATGCATTTACTTACTTGGCGGCTGCGTTGTTGTTGTGGTTGCCATTGTTGTGGTCGCTGTGGTTGCCGGCTCTGTGTGGCTGATGCTGTGCACCAGCTCTGTTGTTTCCATTTGGTCAACAAAAATTACCGGATCATCGAAATCTACGCCCTGCCTGCCAAGGCCAGCGTTTTGACCATTGCCATTCTTCTTGCCCTGTCGCCGGTGGTCGCCCTTGCCATTTCCGTTACCATTCCCATTCCCATTCCCGTTGCCATTGCCATTGCCGTTGGTGTTGCCGTTACCATTACCGTTGCCATGCCCGTGGCCGTGTGTATGCCCCTTGCCGTGATTGTTGTCGTGTTCATTGCCGCCATGATAATCGTTATTTCCGCCATTTCCGCTGGCATCGTTTCCGCTGTGCAGCGGCACTGAGTCGGGCGGATCGAGATAATTGTGTTCCACCGATGCCGGCTCCGATTTCTCCTTTGCCTGTTCGGGTTGTCAAGCGATTGGGTTGTTATTTTATTTATATTTTTTGCGTGCGATTTATTATTTATTTTTATTTTTTAATTTTGTTGCACAGTTATTCGGGTTTTTTCATTTTTTATTTATTTGCAGTTGTTTTTTATTGTGGTTTTGCGATTGTTGTTCACAATTGTTGTTGTTCGTATGGTTGGCAACATGAAAAGAAAATGTTTTTAAAGGTTTCAATGCAAACTCGAATATTTTTGTGCACTGCATTTAATCTGTTAGCTGCAGCTGCAGCTGCAGCAGCTGCAGCAGCAGCAACATCAGCAGAAGGGCAGAAATTGATTGCTTTGTCGGTTTGAATTCATAGTCGATACTCCGATACTCGAACGCTGGGTTTATATTGTGCGCTTGGCTTTTCAACTCTGTGCAGCCACTGATTGAGTGCTGATTGGAAAACAGACGGATTGAAGGATAACTGAATGAAGGGACGGTGGCCAGGCGACTGTTGTTGAAGCTTGTTAATCGGATTGGCTACCAGATTGGCCCGGTGCGCCTGACCACTGCACAGTTGTTGCACCACAATTAGTGCCGTTAATGCTTTGACCCCTAACGTAAGCATCCGGTGCTGGTGCACTCATAGGCGCACGCTACTTACCTTGAAGATATGCGTTGCGGGCTTTCTTGGCGTTTGCTTCGGCTGTAAACTGGTTGTTGTTGTCGTAGTGGTCGGTGGCGGCGGCGGTGGGGGCGGCGGTGCACGAGTAGTAGTCGTCGTAGTTGTCGTGGTTGTCGTCGTCGTTGTAGTCGTCGTCAGAAAGCCCAATTCAGCCAGCCGCTTCATATGAAAGTCCTTTTGTGCCTCGACTGCAAAGTGCATAAGATTTTTGTTGCATTCCCCCATGCAATTATCCAGTAGTCGCAGTCGCACTCGCAGTCTACTCACCCACACATGGATTCATCCAGAGCAGACGACGCCAGCCTACGCACTGGTATAGATGCTGTGGATCTGTGCCCTGACAGGCGCATGTGGTTCGCAACATGGTGCCAAGGATGCCAATCATTGCTGTGCGACAACCACTTGGCCGGCCGGCACACTTCTTGGTCACGCTGTCCACGGCACAGGCCTGCTCATAATACTCCAGCTTGAGTCTGTCAAGGTTTGGGTTGAGGAATAAAAAAACAGACATCAGAGTATTAACATGTGTGTGCCGGCAGCAAGCTCGGCAGCTCGTCAGCTCGTCACCTCGTCAGTTTGTAGCTGCAGTTAAAGTCTGTCTAGCTGTCTGAATACCTGCCTGCCTGTTCGTAAGTGTCCCGTTACATGCAACCACTGTAGCTAGCTTCAGTCTGAGATTGATGTCTAGCCATTTATGTTGGAATTACACTTGGTATTCTGCTGCATTTGATGGTTCTGCAGTTGTTTCTACCACCACAAATTTGCTACACAATTTATTGCAGCAGGTTTACGACACTGCCGTAAAATCCGAGCTCACTTGCTGCAGCTTTATGTGCCATGTGGCGTATGCGTGAGAGGCAAACAGCGCAGACAAGTGTAGACTACTCTCTTGCCGTCGGCATTTCAATCATTTCAATCAGCTGCAACTTTACCGCCAAATAGTAGCCAAATGAGCCCGATTAGACATGCATTCAATCTCAACATCTACTTAGCATTTATGGCGTCTTGAGGCAATGAGGTGTACACTTCTGCAGCTGAACTATAATTCAACCAAAACAGCTAACAATTGCATAATTTGCAGCATTTATTGTTCATTCAATTGATAATAGATAATCATGTTGATTGCATAAATTAAGCCTGACTTTGTTTGTGCCCCTTGGCCGGTTTTGGTTATATAAGGGCAGGCATTGCAATTGAGAGGCTGTGGCACGTGGCACATGGAAGCAGCCATCTAAGAGTTAATAAAACAATCTGCCACCCCGAGGGCCAGGCAGCCAAACAAATGCACCACGCCTGACGTCTAACAATGTACAATGCACGTGCTTGAATGCAACGCGTCGTATACGTAATAAGTCAACATAAGCACTCGAATAGCAAGACGCAAACTCCGAGCGCACAGACACACGCTCGAAGAGTTGTGTGTAGGCAGCGCAGCATAGAAAATGAGCGTCATTAGTCCAATTTAGTTGTTTACTAAAGCAAGTGAGATTCACTTAAAAGGCAATTAATTTTCACAGCCACAACTAGAGCCACGTTCGCCGCGGTTGTTCAGCTGTAACGTGACAACAAACACACCACACCCTCCCTCCTCGCACACACAAACACACCCACACACACAGGCTGACATACACGCGCTGCAAGCAAGCCATGGCTGCATCGTATTTATCACTTAACTTTGTGTTTGACACATTCGCGGCCTGGCTTGAAGTCTACCAGCCGAGTAAAGTGCAGCCTGGCTCTGCGGTATGCTACCCGCTGCCGTGTTTAATGAAGAACAGCGCACAAAGTGGTAATTTAACGCCCGGTTTGACAGTGACGCGGATTTTTGGCATCAAAGCCAAACAACTTGAGCTGTTGCCTGTCGGCTATGAATTTGGCCTGTTGTCAGCTTAATGACTTTGGCAAAAATGCCATCAAAGTTGTGGCCGTCTTAGGATCGAGCTAAACATGTGTAATTCAATAAGCACATGAAATTCAATTTGCTTTAATTGAATTTTAGTTCAAAAACACTTGCTCCGCACACACACACACACACACACACACACACACACGGAGAGGGAGTTTAAAACGAGCTGCGGATTTACATGCGATGCGCATATTTCCGCTTCCGCTTAGCAAGCATTTGAATTATGGACAGAACGCGTCGCCCTGGGTCATGGGGACATGGCTGCCATGGCTACATATTTAACCCACCTGCACTCGCGAAACTCTTTGCAGCTGTCGGCCACAACATGGCAAGCGGGCGGCGGATGGTAGTAAATGCCATTGGAGCTGCCTGGATTATTGTTATCGGGCGGCCTCTGAGCGCAGACGGGATGCAGTTTTTCCTGTGCAATCATGCACATGTCGGGGCGATTGCCGTTCTGCTGGCTGGGACTGTTGTTGCTGTTGCTGTTGCCCGATTTTCTGTTGGGCCAGGAGAGAAGGAGCAGATGGAGTGGTATTTGTAGTTTGCTGTTGCAGTAGTTGACCAACAACTGCTGCCACTTACTTGCATAGACAAAAGGCAATGTCCAGATTCAAGTCCTCGTGCGGTCCTTTGTAGAAGGACTGCAATGATGTCATGCACGCATTGCGATTGCACCGATGCAGCTCGCAATGCGTCAGCATTGGCTGCAGCGATGATGAGCAGGCTGGATCCTCCCGGCAACTATCCAGTGCTGTGTGGCAGGTACTCTGCACAGTTGAAAGGCGAAAGGAGAGAAGAAAAAGTGCATTGTTGTACACGCAAAATGTAAAAGGTGCTGCAACATATTCAGAATACTTTTTGCATTTGTCGTTTCCCCCGGGAGACGGGAGGAGGTGGGAGCAACTGCAGTGCGGTGCAAATGATGCATAGCCCTAACCACGCCCACTCCAGGTCGAACTTACCTGAAAATGTTGCTTGATTATTTCCGTTGAGAGGTCAACTTCAACGTCCTGACCACCTGCAACCGGAGCAGCAGCAGCAGCAGGAGCATCAGCAGACGTGCCCAAGTGACCATCGCATTGGCGTCGAGTTACAGTTGAGTTTTGCCGAACGAAATCACGAGAGTATTCAGTGCCGGGGCAACATCGTTTGTCATAATTGTGAACGTAGTAGAAGTGTAGAAGAATGTTGTAAATGTGTCCATTAGTTATCGGCTTAGATAATTGTGTAACACTTGAAAATATTTCAGAGCACTTCAAAGCACTTTCGATAGCTACGCAGAGTGCGTCCGCCAACATGAACGAATCACTTCGGAGGGGACAGGTTTCTAATTCAATGCATATGAAATTGTTTAATAAACATTTTTGAAATGCTTTCATTAATTGAAATTGTATTGCGCTTTTTTTGTCTGCGCAAAAAATGTTGCATATTTGGCGGAATGTAATAAATGCATTACTTTTTTACCTCTGCATATTTATTCATTGCATTTATTGCTAACTAATTAACAAATGAATATGCATATTTCATATTTGTAGCTCGAGCTTATCACAAAAGCTTCCATAACTCGATTACGTCGAGGGATTGATGGCAAATAATCCTAATTAGAAATGATTATCAACGCGCGCTCCCTGCTGAGCGCGCGTTTGGTGATGGGGACGGGGCGGGGCGGGGCGTCTATTTCGCATCATGTTGGGGAGCGACAACAGCTGGTGCCTATTATAGATTACATTTTAATTAACCAACTTGTTGTTGGTTCTCGTTTCTATCCAATGCCATGGTTAAGTCCATTGTGACCCGGCACAGATCCACCCATAAATAATCCAAAATAATCGAATAATAAAAACGAAAGGCATAAATAATGAAATTAAAAGCAAATATATTTATATATATATATTTATATATAAATTTATATTTTATTCCAAATTTGTTGCCTATAACTTGAAATGGGGGGTTGGGCACGTTCAATGGGGAATCGATTCTCAACTGCGGGAGGAGCAGGGAGGGAGCGTAGACTTTTTGTTGATATATTTGAGTGAGCAGCAGGGCTACGGGTGCAGCGGGGCTGCGGGGGCGTATCAAACACAACTAAATACTATGTATATAGTCTTACGCATAAAGTATAGATTAAATATTTCAATAGACTTGTCGGCCTTTTAAACTACAACCTACTCATCAAAATACTTATTTCGGGTAGCGCCAGGAGCGACGCTTAACTAACAATGAAATTCTGTTTAATGTGTCTTCAGATGTGTGTGTGTCTGCTTGTGTGTGTATGTGTGGGTGTCTATGCTCTGATTTGGCAACACTTGTGCGCCCGAGTCAATGGAAATGTTGTTTTATATGAGAACTGAGTGTAGTTTAATCTGACTATTAAATATTTCATGTTGTTTGTCTTGTATTAAAAGAAAATGAATTTAAAAACCTTTGAATGCACGTAGTAAAGTAAATTAAAATAATATAAATTATTTGAAATGTTCCTGAAGTGGAGAAAACAGAAAAGCAATTTCAAATCGGAACTGAAAGCATAAATCAACTCTAAGCAGCTGCAATGCAAAATGAACAATTTTATAGTATAATTGTTTTTCTTTTGTGTGTTTTGATTAGAGCTGAATCTTCAAAATATCAAAATGATTTTCCAGTTGAGCTGAGTCTGTTGAGTAATGGTTGGGCTTGTATGAAATGTTGTTCGTTCTAAGACTTTAGCTTTTCATATGTTTATGTAAAATTTGTAATCAATACCAATTTCGGTATGGATGGCAAAGTGAGTGAATGTTTCAACTGCTTGATTTTTATTTTCGAGTATATATTCAGTTTTCTTGTTGGCATGATAGTGTTGTTGTTGTTGTTGTTATGGTTGTTGTTGTTATTTAACTTGAACACGCAACATATGAAACATATTGGTAAAAAAATTTGCATTTGAACAAAATGTTTGAGTTGAAAAAGAAATGTATGTAACGCATGTTGTTTGTACTTAGTATTTGAATTATTTGTGATCGTAACTGTTTATTGTTCTTGTTTCAAAAAACGGGTGCATCGAAGAATTTTGTAAAAAAGTGTGCTTGAATTAAATGTAACAAAAATGTATTTTTAGCTTTTTTGTTTTTAATGAATTTTGTTTAAAAGTTGTAGCACAAATTTTACAATTATATTTGTTTTTATATTAATGTCGTTATTAACAATTTTTACAGCTCTCTCATCCGTCATTATACTTTTCGGCTTTGGTATATAAACAAAATGGCAAACAAAATTCATTATTAGAAATTTTCATAACGAAGTTGAAGCAATTTGTTTCTTAAAAATTTTTAGAAAATTTCCAAAACATTTGAAAAACAAGTGGCAAGCTACATAAGGAAAAAGAAATTTAACTAAAAAGAAATAGTAAAATATTACAGTATTCATATAATATATATTTTGAGATATATGTATATATATACGAGTATGTCGGCAGTTTTTGTTGTTACTGTTTGATATTTATAAAAGTTGAGCGAATGCTAAAAATTATGCACAAAGCCAAGACGAGCTCGGGGCGCGCCAGTATTTATTTATTTTGTTTTCTTTGTTTTGCTTTGTTGCTTGTCAACATTTAAATCAAAAGTCGAACAGTAAAAATTTGTTACTTAAAAACTGACCTGCAACGGGGTGTGTTAGTTACAGGGGACGACACAACACGCGCAATAATATTTGTTTATTCAAACGAAAAGAAGGTAAACAAGGTATATAAATAATTACAAGAAAGCGCTACCTGTCGGGTGAAAAGAAACAGAAACCGTGTGCCTAGCAGCTTGTTCTCTTCTCTGTTTTATTCTGCTGATCATATTTATTATATTTGTTTGCTATTTTGGCTTGCCTAGTTTGTGGTCTGTTATTTATTTATTGATTACGTTCATGCTAATACATGTACACATACTTTGATAGTAAACACCGGCATTTCCGTTTCCGTTGCCGTTGCCATTGCCATTGCCATTGCCATTGCCATTGCCGGCGTAGCCATAGCCCGTATCAACAATATCGAATGGCGATTCATTTCCGGCGCCTGTCGCCGATGCACCCGCTGCCATGTGGCGCTGATGAAAGCCGCTTATATTGAACGGATAGCTGAGCACGCCGTGCAGCGAGTTGGACACCGAGCCCGGATAATTATAGCTGCTCGCCGAGCCGCCCGTCGCTATTAACGGCGTATCAATAACCGCCAAATTATCATCGAAGATTCTCTGATGCAATTTCTCGTCCATGCCCAATATTCTTACTGGAATTTTAAGTAGCAAGAAGAGAGAGGGTAGAATGGTTGTTGTAGTTGTACAGTGGCTGTTACGTATGTTGTTGTTGTTGTTGTTGTTATTGTTGTAGATACGAGTAGCTGTTGTTGTTGTTGTTGTTTAACTATAACTGTTGCAGTTGCTGGCAACTTGCAACACATCAACATTTTGGCCATCCAATCAATTTGCACAATTTATAATCAGTTCAGTATTTTTTTTAAATCTTGGCGTAAATTTTTTTATATTGTGTAAAAGAAAATTAGGTTTATATATGTATGTGTGTGCCCATTGAATAGCATGGGTTAATACTTTTTGAAAGTCTTTTCTATAAACTCAACTTAGATTAATTAAACCAAAACAAGTTAAGACCTTAGAAAATAAGAAAACTTTAAATATACATGGACAGTTTGGGAAAATTGTGCATTCTATAGGTGCTGCTAGTACACAACATTTCAGGGCGTGAGTGTGTGCGTGTGTTTGGATTGGTGAAACAGAGCTTAAATAGTCATACTTAATATAATAGTTTAGCTTATGTGCAGATTAAACAAAGCAAGTTTTGAACGGTAACAACAGCAATCGGCTATAAAAGCAATCGAATACATTTAGCCTGTGGCCGTAATGTGCTTGAAAGCTTAACAGCATTGCGTATACTCAAATAAATATATGGAAATAAGCAAAAAAAAAAGCAATCGAGTGTTTAGCTTAGATGCACACCTAGCGAAGAACTAAGAACATTTACAACGTTTCGATGAATCGATGAATCGAATACTTAAGCGCACCTTGAAGCAAGTGTCATTGCTACTATAGCGACATGGCTCGGGCTCGGATATTCAGTGTGATTTAGCCAATTGCTTATTGTGTGGCTCGCCACGCACCAATTGCCACTGCAGAGCTGCCGTTGCCGTTTCCGCTATCAATGTCAATAGCAGGGCAAAAGCACAAACACAAGCTCAATGCTAACAGAGACGTGCTGTGCGCCAGTAGTCTGTGTGTGTGTGCGTGTGTGTTTGTGTGTGGGTGTTTGTGTCTAACTTTGTGTATCTTTCAAATGTCATGCGCTGTTAGAGCGAGCAAATGGTAAACGATTCAATGGAGACGCTTCGCAACCACAGCAGCATTTGCTTATCTCGCCCAGCGCACGCCAAAGTGCGCTTCATTTGAGGCGTCTGCTCAAAGGATGCGAGACCCCTCTGAGCTTAAGCTTCGCCTTCGCCTTCAGCTCCAGCACCAGCACCAGCACCAGCACTAGCACCAGCTTCCGTAGCAGGCAGACGGTCAATGCGGGGCGCCAAATGGCAGGAAAATGCCATGGATTTGCCATGCCTGCCGCTTGCCACTTGCCGCTTGCTGGCAGCTGCCTGCCGCCTGCGAAACGTATTTATGCTTGTCGCTTATTTTGCCAAACAAATATTTGCACAACAAACTGTTGGGGGCAACAGAATTGGCGGAATTCGAAACGGAATCGGAATCGCAATCGTAATCCCAACTGCCTGTACAGCGAGGGGCGGCTAGCACTGAGATTAGCGCTGTTTGCCAAGTGTTATCGCCCATGTAAACAGTTGTCGACGAGTGGATCTGTCGCCGTCAAAGTCTGGCAATTGTTGCGTATACGCCAAGGAGTCAGCATCAGCTCAGAATAACTTTAATTATTGAAGCACAATTGCATTTGGGGCAGTTAATGCTTGCTAGAAAACTACATTAGCACAGTGCGTATCAGCTGCATACGTGTGCTGTCTAAATTGAAACACACACGAACAGGCATTGGTGGCATGCAACACAAAGCGGATTTTACAATACTGCAATAATATTTATTGCACGCAAACCAAACGCCAGGCCCATATACCTGGCGCAAGCATGGTCTATGGGCTCAATTTGTTGTTGGCGCATTGCTGAAAAATCGCTTTAATTGTTTTACTCGTGCTTAATTAAATTTGCAACGAAAGGCGCACATATCATTATGACTCTAACTGCGCAACTTTGTAATTGGCCTAAAAATGTGTTATGAGCCAAATGCTAAGCAATTGGCTTACGAATATTATTATTATTCAAATTGTGGGTTATTGGGTTACCAGTTTAACTCACATTAATTATCAGTATCGGATAAATTACTAATGTTGTTATTGCCGTTGTTGTGTGCTGTCTTGCAACAGCGTGTGATTACAATTTGTTATTGCTGCCGCCGAATTGGCTGCAAATAATTCGATGTGTGTGTGAGTCAATGCATGTGACATGCATAAATATCTGCCAATATTTGCGCAAATTCACAATAGCTGCATGTCTGTGTGTGTGTGTGTGTGCGTGTCCCATAGCTGCACTGGCAAATGAAGTCGCCGAGCCCTGAGCACAATGCGAACAGATTCAAATTTATAACCATCAGCAGATGGCCAACGGGTGCCGCAGCGCATGCAAAAACAACAACAAAAGGATCAGCATCGATGATAGTAATGATGATGATATTGTTGATGATGATGATGATGATGATGATGATGATGGACGACCAATGACAATGGCTAATGAAATTTGTGGCAATGTGCACGAGAGGCAAGTGCATAAAATGCGTAACAATCAAAATGCCAAGCATTCGGTGCGAGGGGCGATCGATCGATTAACATAATGCGTCATGCAGCAAGTGTGTGTGTGTGTGTGAGTGAGTGATAGAGATGAAGAGTGTTTAAGCGGGAGCTAAAGATAAGGCCGCATGTGCCGCTGACTGTGTTATTGTATGTGTGTGTGTGCGTGTGTGTGAGCATGTGTAGGTCTCTGTCTGTGTGTGAGTGAGACTGAGAGCTGTAAATAAGCAGCAACCGAATATAATACACATAATGGATGCCAATTCAAGCCAAGGGCCACTGCAAGGGGGAGGGAGCATTGTGCACTTCATATCAATAATTTACTTAGTTAAGTTTGTTTGGCGCAGATCTGGTTTGGGGGCTGGTTCGGTATTTGGCGCTGGGGCACAGAGCTAACAAACAAAATGCTTATTTATGGCACTTCTGTGCATTCCAAGTGAACGAGCGTGTCTGAGTGTGTGCGTGCGAGTGTGCGTGTGTGCGAGTGTGCGTGTGTGGCATTACTTTAACTGCAAGTGATTGCAGTGGCAGATAGCCATAACTATACCCCAATAGCCAAATGCCAAGTATAGTACAAGACAGCAAGTGGCAAGCAGACGGCCGGGCAACAACAAGGCGCAGGATACACAGGATTCAGGATATAGTTGCACTCAACGCTATTTGCCCGCCGCTTGTTTGTCTAATACAGTGCCACAAAAGGATGCAATTATTGGGAGCGCAAGAGATAGATAGCTAAATAGAGCGGGACGCTGTGAGTTACTGTCAGCGAGTGCCTTTGGTGCAGTGGTGCAGTGGTGCGGTGGTTCAGTGGTGCAATGTGTGTGCTTCAATTGTCTAATGTGCTCTTACATTACCGCGAAGCTCGCATGGCTTAATTTATTACCTGAACTTGTTCACAGTTCTACCTAAGTTTATTTACACAGCTTAGACTATGGACAACACTGAGAAAAATAAGTTTGTCCTTAAGTAAAATAATAGAATAAAGTGTTTTAGCTTCGCTTTCCTTTTAGATGAAAAAAAAAACCCAATGTAAATAAAAATACCACAAATCTTAGCGATTTCAACAGATTGAATATAAATCTTATAAAGTTCCCCCATCCTTATTTATATCCTCATATTTTAGCAGAATAAAATTAAATAAAAATATACAAAATAATAAAAATATATATATATATTTAAAATAAATAAATATATATTTAAATAAATTGAAAATAAGTATTTCAATCCCATGTAGATAATTTCATCTCCAATACTCAATAACATAACATAAGAGAGAGAGAGAGAGAAAGAGATGAGAGACAAGTAAAGAAGGCGCTTCAATTGAAGCCCATTTAATTGAGTGCTGAATTTAAGTGCATTTGATTTATTGAATTAAATAAATAATTTATTTACTTACCCCTTTCGTCCATGCTGCCAGCGGAGTGGGTGCGGTGGGTAATATCGCTACCGGCGACTAAATCGCCCAGATGTGCTGTTTTGTGAATGTTGGTGCCGGTGCTAAATGAAGTTGCGAGCATTTGGAAAATTGCAAGTATTTGGAAATTAAGTGCAAGAAGTTATACAATACGAATTGTGAGGTGTTTGGGGTGAGGTGAATGGGCTAATTAGTTTGGCTCTGCATGGCACTGCCATGCATCGAGCCTGCAAGTCGAAATTCAAGTGCAGGTGCAGGTGCAGGTGCAGGTGCTGTTGCTGGTGCAGTTGTATGTGTGTGCTGTATGAGTTTGTTGCTGTGGTGTTGCATAAGGACGTTGTGCAAAGGACATCTGCAGCCGCTGTTCATTAATTTGGAAAATGACTTAATACGGCTACAAATCGGCTTAAAGTATTAACGGTCCAGGCCGGTTGACTTTTCACTTCCGCTGACAATTGTCAAAGCAGCCGGCATTATAAATGAATATTTAAGCAGACGCCAGGGAGCCAAAAACATAGAAATAGGCCTCGTTTCGGACGTCTCGCAAATCTATTTATGCTTGTTGCAGGCAACATTTGAATATTCAATAAGATGGCATGCATTAGGAGTCGATTAAGTATTTAAATGGCCTACAAGCGTACAGAGAGCGGCCCAGGAGCAATTGAAACCGACATGTTTCTATTTATTTCCTAGTTGCCCTATGCGTTTCTTGCTTTTGTTGCTGTTGTTGTTGTTAGCCTCATTCATTAGTTGACTACTGTTGGCTGTTAACCGGAAATTGTGGTATACCCAAGTGAGTCAATTATTTTAAAAGCTTTGCTGCATAAAGTTTTGAGCTGCAACCCCGTTGATGTGGTTAAAAGAGTTTTTGGTTGAGTTAATGAAAGACTTGATCCACCAGACGGAGAGCTGGGCTCAGAGAGGCACTGCAGCAGGCACTGCCCACTCGAGCAATCGTATGTGAAAGTTTGAACAAAGTTGGCGGCTTAAAGATGCCAACTTTAGCTCGGCCAGGCCGAGTCACACTCGCAACTGCATACTTAGGCGATATTGTTGAGCTGAAGCTGTTGCCTGCAATGGTTCCAGCGGTGGTCGGTGGCTCCATGCCATGCGCATAGTACGTGTGCGTGTGTGGATGCGTGTGCATATGCTGATGTGGCCCTGGGCCAGTATCGACCACGACCACAACATCGTCGACAACACTGCGCTCTAGGTCGTCCACATGGGGTGGTGGCGACTGTGGCTGCTTCTTGTGGCTATGGTGCGTAGTGGTGGGCACCTCGACGACCACATCGTCGTCCTCGGAGGTGTGCGGACTATGGGAAGCCAGCACCAACGGATTGTTAATGCCCCACGAGGGCGGATGCAAATAGTGCGGATAGTTTGAATAGATTTCAGCGCGTATGCGATCATCGTAGTCATCATCGTCGGAGTCCTCGTCATCTTCCGCCGGCTCCTCCCCAGCCTCATCCTCCTCCAACGGATGTTCCCGACCGGTGTTTGGCTCGTCGTGATAGTGGTACTCAATGTTGTTCGACAAGAGCTCCGTGCCATTAAAGGCGTGGCCGATGCGTTGGCCGAGCTTTTGTTTCTGCTTTCGCGTTGGTTTCGGCTTCGTTTTTGGCTTTGGTTTCAGCTTTGGCAAACCGTTGGGGAAAAATATTATTCTATCTGCAAAGAGCCAAAGAGTGGGAAAGCGGGACAAAGGGATCGCCGGGAAGTGGACGATGCGCAGGCATGCGTGAGGTGCAAATACAGTTTAGTGCCAAAAATGGTGCAAATTCGTTTCAGATGTGTGCGTGGGTGTTGCTGTGGGTGTGTGCTTGAGTGTAGTAGTGCGGGTACGCTTATTTAATTAGTGCTATTAGTGCCTGGGGTGCATTTAATCCAAAGGTGCGAACAGTGCTGTGGCTGGTGCAGCTGCTAGCGTGGTACGACTGTGACCCCACAGCGCCAGGTGAACGTGTACAGGGCTTGGCCCAAATTGAGTTGAGCTTGAGGTAGAATTTTAGCTGGAGAGTTTTACGGTTTTGCTTTTGGATGGGTTGAAAATGTGAAGATAATGGAGTTATTTTGGTATAGCGTTAACAAAAGCACGAACTAAGCTGACAGTCTATGTGATAGAGAAATTTAGGTGAAACCTAAGCAAGTGGCCCCGCTAAGCCTGGCCTAAGTCTCGTAAATTAATAGAGCTGTACAAATAGCTTACAGTAGAGAGACAGAAGCGAGAGCTAGATAATACAGCAACGATAACGATTACGATAACGATTACGATTACGATTAAATCAAAACTATATTTATTACAGTTACCAGCGTTTAATAGCATTAGTTGATAATAGTTCCAAAGGTGTTGTGTTTTGTACTTTGTGCAATCAATCAATCAATCAATCAATCATCAATCAATGGTAATGTCAATATAAGTCTATATGTAAAGCACAGTAACAGAACCGGTTAGCGTGTGACATATCAATTTGAATCGGCTAGCAGTTTGTGAGGGTATTCGGGTAACTCTTACTGCTAATTGTAATATATTGGATAGATAGTAAGGTCAATTGTACAGTACTTTGATAGTTGAATGGTGTGTGTGTGTGAGCGAGAGAGAAATATATAGAGAGAATAGGAATAGAGAGAGAGAAAGGGAGAGAGAGCGAGGGAGATAGAGCGGTGACAGTAAACACGGCAGCTTTACATATATATATTTATATATATAGTAGTTGTACGTATACGTGATATTTACGATATTACTGAGCATTGCTAATACGTATAGTATAACCATATATTCATAGACTGATATAGGCATTTAAATGCTAATAGGTTTACTGTTTACTGATCGCATGTCACGCAAATGTGGATATTTTTGTTTTTTTTTTTTACTAATTTGTTTATAAATTTTTATTGTTTTGGTTTTGATGCAAAAGCGTGCGATTTTAGTTTCAGGTTTTTTCATTGGTATTTAGATTACTTAAATTATTAGGCTAGTTTCAGTTTTGAGCGGTTCACAAAGTACCAAAAAGGAAAACAACAAAAGTACAAAATGGAAATCGAACTTGAAACGAAAAGTAGACAGAACTGAGGAGAACTTCATTTGTGTTGAGATAAGAACGTATAACATATAACAAGATAATAGGATAGGTACTCAGCATGGTTTAGCTGCTTTGCTCAACCACAAATAGAAGAAAGAAATTCACATTTAATGTTTCCAGAGATGAAATAAAAAAGTAATTTCCTTGCATTTCGACGAATGTTTCAGCACTTCAACGCGTTCTTTTTTTTCTTTTTTGTTTTTTTTTTTTCTTTGTCAGGATTTTGTGTTCTTGTTGTTGGCTGTTGTTGTAGTTGTAGCTGTTGTTGTGGTTTTGGCATCAGCTGTTGCTGGGAAACTTACCCACACACGGATTGTGATTAACAATATTAAAAATACGATCACAGCGCTTTTTCATATGATTATTCGGACAGATGCACCCGAACATGGGCGACAAGCGCAGGTTAGTCCAGGCATCATGACAGGCATCCCTGAAATGAAAATGTTCGCATTTAGCCAGTAGCAGGAGCAGCGGCACCTAAGCCGACCCACAAGCACCACAGCTAATTGAAATTATATTAAACCCAAGTGCCGACCCTTTACAAAAACGGTAAAGGCGAAACTCAGCGAACTAAACCCCTTAAACCCGACCCAAGACTCGACTTCCGCTCGACGCAGCAAACTTTAAAATTGGCAATTGCATCAAAAATGCATACATACGGCAGTTCAATTAATATTTTATCGCATAGGTGGCAGCAGTTGGGCTTTTCGTGGGGCAAGCGGCCCTTTGCCGCATGGGCTGTGCGTGTTCAAAGTTTAGACGGCGGCAGTGAAACTTTAAGCCAGGCCAAAGACCGCGCCGGGGCCGCCGCAAAAAGTCATTTCGAGTTATTAAAACATTCAGAACGTTTGTATTCGAGGGTATTGAGCCAGACGCCGCAAGCAACTGGCGTCAGCAAGGATATGTGAAGGCTGCAGGAAGCAGCAAGAACTCAACTAGCAGGAAATTTCATTTCGCTACTCTTAGTTGAAGTTGGGCGAACAGGCCACCCCCTCCTCGCTTCCTCTGGCCCTCACTCTATATCGAATATCGAAATTAAATGTTGCTTCTGCAGTTTGCGCAGCGTCGAAGTTTTTGTGGCAGCAAGCTAGGATACTCAAGTAAAATGCCATCACCAGCAACTAAATCCATTTTCTCATTAAGCCAAACAGTTTAATTGAATGATTTTATTATCCGCCCCATTTTTGCCAAGTTCGCAGACACTGTTGGTGCACTTTTTGTGCCGCTGCTCTAATTAGCATTCGTTTCACAATTTCCTCCAATTTGCAACATTTTGCGGCTATCGACAGGATGGAAGCGGCAAAGCGTAGAATATTAAGCGCGCTTGTTGCTTAATATGCAAACTGAATAATCAATAATTATAATTGATACGGTGGACGTTGCTCTTTTCACTTATCGATGGCGAAGCTGTTGAGTTGGCGGAATTCTAGGCAGGTTGAAAAAATTGCTGCTGGCTTCCTCAATTCTCTTCCTCAATAGTTCTCAGGTATCCCCGAGCTGCTTATCTGTACTTAACAGAGATTTCCCTTTTCTAATTTGCGCTATTCACTCACCTGTTTTCCATTTTGCACTTATTATCGCGCACCTTGCAGTGCGTCTTGAAGTCTTCAAAGAGCTTTAGGCATTTGCGTTCCTGCTGGCACACGGACAGCGCATGATTGCACGTGGGCAGAGCGTCAATCGGATAGGGATCCTTTTCGGCTGTGGGAAAGGATTAGTAAAAACAAAAAAAAAGGAAAAGGAAGCAAACGATTTAAGTAAGGTTATCACAAGTTTAAAGTGCCATCATAGCCCGTGGCATGCCGCACGCATTCCGTGTCACTGGCAGGTGGCACTTGCACTTACCTTTTTTGAGCACAAATCCGCACGGATGATCGAACAGAAAATCCCGAAAATGATTGCAATCGGGATCCATGCCGGGCTCCTTGCACAGGCAGGTGGGGCGAAAGAATTGAAATGCCTGCAGCGTGCGAAGTGCCGCTTGGCATTTTGTGACCGTCACAGTGCTGCAGGACACTGCAAGGACAATGAAAGAGACAAGCAGGCTATAAAAACGGCAAGCGACAGTTATGCTTAATGATCTCTAAATGGCAGCAGCGCTTAAGCTTTGACATTGCGCTGGACGTGTCCACGTCCGTGTAGCTGTCCAATTTGGAATCGCTGCTCACATCGATTATCCAAGTTGTAGCCAGTTGACAGTTGTTATAAATGGCAGGCAGGCGAGCAAGCAGGCGTCGCGTCGGCCCAAAAACAGACAACTACAAACCAAACACATGTCATAATACCCAACAATAAACAACGACACGAGCAACAACAACAGCAATAAGAACAACAACATTAACAACTATAGCTGCAGCAATATGAATAATTGAGTCCCCAACAAAATGGTCGATTTAAGCGGCCAATGAAGCGAGCAGGCAGCGTGCAGCCAGCGCTCGTGCTTGTTGCGAGAGAGATCCGATAATATTTTATAACATAATAAATTATGTTTCATATATGACAGCTTATTCGAGCATATGACAACTACTGCTATATATACGCCCGCACACACACGCACACACGCACACACACTCATTCGCACTCGGTGAATGAGTGGGGCGTGCGGGCTGTCGAAACAAACAAAAGGCCAACAAACATCTGTTGGCCATCCATTGTCCCTTTGACCATAAAACATAAGCCCTACTAATAAACTCGACTACGACTACACTTCACATACACACACACATACACACATCGAGGCGACTGTGGCTGGCCATAAGCCGTAAAATCGCCAAAAAAGCAAAGCGAACCAACTGCCGCAACGTCCGGACAATGGCCAATGGCCAGCATATGAGCTGGACGGCCCATTGCTCATGTCACTCATACGACCCGTTGGCCGCTCGACCCCGGACATGATTATTTGCTACTCGAACATAAAGTTGACCGCCCAGCCCCAGCCTCAGCCCGAGCCCCAGCCCCAGCCCCAGCCCTCGTGCAATTTGTGTGTGGGGCGTGATGCTCGAACTACGCAACAAGTGACATTTTTCGCAGGCATTCATCATATTTATGACATGGCCAACAGTTGACATGGCCGCATTTGTTGCTGTTGGCCAAAGCTCTGTGCTGTTTGGGCCACAGCCCCAATTAGAAGCCATTGGCAGCTTAAAGAGTAGGTGTTGGGGCCACATCTTTCGACTTGGCTTAAACGGGCTGCAACTCTTAAGCACTTTTAGTTTTGTGGCCTTTGATTTCATATGTGTGTGAGCTCATAAAAGTGGCGAGTGGGCTTTATGCCTCAACTGACGCCATTTGCAGTAACTGTTAAGCTCGCATTGCTGCTCGTTTTGTCGCTCTTTAACCGTCAACGTTAAGTCCTCAATTCGTTTTTATACGAAACGCGTTTCCGGTTGTTGAGTTGGTCGCTGAATTGGTTCAATGATTTCTTTGTTGTTTCCAATATGACCAAAAAGCGTGCACATGCACGTGTGTGTGTGTGTACAGTATATAATCATATTTTTGCTTGTCGCTTTGCTGCCACGAATTTGTGCGCTGGCTGAAATTTATATGGCATTTATTTAGTTTGCAATCGGACGGAAATTTGAACATGTTATAGAGCTGACGCTGTGCTGGCTCGCTGCGCATAAAATGTAATGGTTCTTATTTGCACAGCATCGGCGTGCAATTAATTAAATTAAGTAAACTTTTGTCTTTGCCTTGGCGCCTTTGTGGATGAAATTTTTACAATATTGATTGAGCGGCATGAGGGAGCCCGTGCAACACATGTCCTTTTGTCATCTGAAACGGGCGTGCCTTGAGTAAAAAGTGCGTGAGTGTGTGCGTGTGTAAGTGGGTGTAGGGGTGTGTGGGTAGCGCGTGGTTGTTTGCCTTGTGCGCAGTTGGCTGCTTGCTGATTTCATTGAACCATCGGCAATTGCACAAAGCGAACGCAAAAATGCGAGAGCAACCCACACACACGCATACTCGCACACACCACAAAAGCACACACACACACGCACACTCACAAACGCAAGCAAGCAGCTGGAGTTGGAGCGCATGAAAAGAACGTCAAAAAGTATGCTGCGACTGCAGCAGCTGAAAGCTGGACCCGCACCACAACGCGCCGTTGCTTGTCAAAATATTTATTGCCGTCAGAGAGATAGAGCAAAACAAGAGAGAGGGCGAATTGAATAGAGAGAGAGAGAGAGCGAGATGCTTTTAAAGGCTTCAATGCGGTCATGTCGCCGCATAAAGGCGGCAAGAGAAAAGGCAACAGACACGCTGCATAAAATGCAATTATCATAAATATTCAGGCCGCCTTGGAGCGTGTTGGCTTAAAGTGTTTTTTTCTTGCGTCGCTTTCACGTGTGCAATATATGTACATATTTTTTGAGGACATTTAAAGGACAATACGGCAGCCATTAAACTGCCCCGTCCCCTGGCCCGGCAACAACCAAAAAGTAATTTCAGTTTTTAAATGAAAAAGTTGAAAGTGCGTTTTACGTTTGTTTTGCTGACGCCAAATGCCATTTTGTTGGCTCTAAACACACACACAGACTGGCACACACACGTGCGCACACATACAAATCTACAGAGAGCAAGGTCTTATGAGACATTTGCCATAAAAACAAATGCCAAATAATATTTGTTGGCTTCTTGTTTCGACTTCGAATTAGACGTTGTCCAGCAATTGTAATCGTAATTTTTTATTACCATGTTCATTCACGACGCAATTGCAATTGTCCATTGGCTATTGGCCATTGGCTATTGGCATTTGACACTTGGGATCAGAGTGGCTGCAGCTATTCGATGAGGCCAAGTGTGCGTGCCTTGCTCTGAAAGTCGGTGCGCTGCACATAGGCGCCACTCATTGTGCGGCGACCCGTGTAGGCGTGGCGGCCATGCAGCACGCGCCAATTGTCAAAGATCACCAGGCTGCCCGGCTGCAACTTCAGCTGCCACTGCTGCTCCTCATCACGCACCAGCTGCAGCAGCTGACGGAAACTGCCATAGAAGCTGGCCATCTCACGCTGGGGCAGAGTGTTGAAGACAGCTCGATCGTAGACATTGAGGCGCAGCTGAACCAGCTCGCCGGTCAGCGGATCGATGCGTATAATAGGCGCTGTGTGGCAATGGTGCTCGCCCTGTTCGATGTACTCGGCGGGAACTGGCACACGGCAAAGCAGCTCGTAGGCAGCGGGAAAACGGCGTCGCAGCTCCTGCACCACGTGCAGCCCATCCACAAAGAAGTTCTCGCCGCCAGTGCCGTCGGCGGAGTGCTCGATGCAGTGCAGTGCCTGCAGGCCGGCTGCGTCGCAGAAGTAGGTGTTATCCGTATGTGAGCCTATATATAGCTGTGTATACGCCGTGTCCGCATGGTCCTGCTTGTCGCTGAATGTCCACATCTCACCGAAGAAGGTCTTCATCAGTGGAAAGCAGCGGCGCAGCGCCAGCTCAGTCATTGTGGGCGTGGCCGCCACGTCATCTATAAAGACAATGCCATAGCGCACGAGAGCGGCTATCAGCAGCTTGACCTGCCCATCGCTGGCAACAAGAGCGGGCAGCGAGAAGCGCAAGTGCCGCTCGTTCTGTAGCGCGATGCTGCGGTTCCAGGGCGTCAGCGAGGTGGACTTTGTACGCCGGCTTATCAGCTGCTCCAGCTGCGAGTCATAGATGAAAGCCCAGTCGTATGTCGAACGATGCCCATCGCTCCCTTCACGTAATGTAAACACGTATAAGCTTTGCAATTGACTGACATCCAGTGGTACTTACATTCCACCAAGAGCTGCTCCGCTGATTCCCAGCTGTGCCTTAGCGCGCGCACATCGGCTGGTAGCTCTAAGAGATCGTAACGCCGTTGATTTGTCTCCGTGTTGAGGCACTGCCCGCAGCGACAATGATCACGTAGCCAGAACTCATTCAGCTCTACCACTTGGCCACTCACAGCATGCTTCAGCCGTAACATCTTGATTATTGAGCAGACGAATACTCGACTGATTCTCAATGAAGTGAGTCGATCAACTGACTGCGTTACTGATAGATTAGCATTTGCTCCCTAACAAATAGAATGTTCTTATCAGTGCGAAGTGCTTGGTACGGCCTACACTTAAAAAAAAACTATCAATCTTAAAGGTTTTCTGTTGAGCTGCTCTTGAAACTATTGATGTCAAATCTTAAAGTTGTTCATGAAATCCATGCAATCTTTAAGCATATTTAGATTATTAATTTAACCATTGAGTACTTTTTGTCCATCTGCATGCATTTAGTCGAGCCGTATTTAGTTTAAAATAATAAATCCAAGTCATAGTAGCAGTGGAAAAGTATGCTAAGTGACCGTAAACAGAGGGCCAAAAATGTATTCACTAAGCAGAACTGGAGCAGTTCAAAGCTTAGATTTATTTGAGAGAATTTCAGAAACTTGATCAAATTTATAGGTGGGTAAAAGGCAATAGCATAACTTGTAGTCCGCTTTATTAATTTATGGACACAGCAGGAATTTAAGAATGAAAACCACAATCACATCATGGGCCGATGAGGTGGAGGCGGACTATGTGGATGGACTGCCGCCATCCAAGGAGCATTTGGATGGGGACTACAAACACGTAACCGAGTACAAGTTCAACGATGAGGGGAAGAAGGTCAAGGTGGTGCGCAGCTTTAAGATAGAGAAGAAGATTGTTTCGAGGGCAGTGGCAAAGCGCCGCAATTGGACCAAGTTTGGCGACTCCAAGCTAGACAAGCCCGGTCCCAATTCATACACCACCAAGGTGGCCGATGAGATCCTGATGAACTACATGGGCTCCAAGGACTTTGAGCACACACAGGATCCACTGGACGCCGGCAAACCCATTGCCAAGTGCCGCATATGCAACGGCGAGCATTGGTCAGTCAAATGTCCTTACAAGGGCACGTCCATGGACATTGAGAGCAAGGCGATTGCAGCGGCAACTGCAGCTGTAGGCGAAACCAGCAAGACGGGCAAGTATGTGCCGCCTTTCCTGAAGGAAGGCGCCAAAGGTCGTGAGCGCGACGATTCATCGGCTGTGCGCATTTCCAACCTATCCGAGTCGATGACAGAGGACGACCTCGAGGAGTTGGTCAAGAAAATTGGCCCGCACACCAAGATGTATTTGGCGCGCGAGAAGAACTCGGGCTTGTGTAAGGGATTCGCCTATGTGCACTTCAAATATCGCAAAGACGCAGCCGAAGCAATTGAAATACTCAACGGACATGGCTATGATCACTTAATCCTCAGCGTGGAGTGGTCCAAGCCGCAAAACTAAACACACATCTTGTCCGGTACCCTGCCGCATATGTGCGTTAAATGTGGCGAGTGCAAAGTTGCGAAAGAATTGAGGCAAAGTTAAAACAAACTAAAAAGTTTGAGTAAATCCGATAATGCCACGTTTTAAATGCGAATTTTTTACACGTGACAGCACAAAGAAATTCCCACACAAATGTACATACGTAAGCAGATACACACACACACAAACAGATACCCTCACATACGGACGTGAATACGGAAAGGAAAAGCCACTTAAATGAAAGACAGACGTGAAGAAGAAAAGCTGGCGAAACACCACTAGACTTTGGCTGACTGGAACATTAATAATTAAATTGAAGAAAAGAAAAGTCTTATGCACGGGCTCACAAGCCAGCTGAAAACTCCGCCCACACCATGCCCCACCACGCCCATTTAGCTCAATAGTGATGTGGCCTCTGGACAGCCCTGGCCTGCTGATGTTGGCGTTGGAATAGTGCACGGTGAAGTGAAGTTAAATACACTTTTAAATGCCTTGGCTTGGCTGTGCATGTGGATGCGGGGCATGCGGGGACAGATCAAAGTGAAACCCACATACATAAGAAATGTATACCTGCAGCTACGAGCTTTGTTCCTGTTGTGTGTGTGTGTGTGTGTTTATCGGGCTATGGGGTAGGGGCTGGCGACGAAAGCAAATTCTCAAACAAATTACTGAATAATTTATAAATTAACTTTTTCTTGGACTCGCTCGTTCATTCGCCTTTGTGCGCGACGACAATGGTGAAGGGAAGTTCGGGTCAGGCGGTCGGTGGGTCGGTGTGTGGTAGAATGGAGAACCTGCTGGCCGTTTGTTTGCTTTTTCTTGCACCTCCCACTTCAGTCTAACTATGTATGTATTCATAGTGGTGCGGCTGGCACGCACATTCGCCCGCTGGGCAGTAACCACAATGGCAGTTGGCTGCGCGGCTGGCGGCTGGCGGCTAGCGGCTAGCGGGTGGGTCAGTTCTCAGGGGCATTTGAATATTCAAATGGTATTTCGTGGCATTTGCTGATGTTGCTCCTGCTGCTGTTGCTATTGTTGTTTCTATATTGCGCTTTAAGCATATGACCGTTATTTACTGTTTTATTGCACGCGGGCGCACACAAAAATTGCTAAAATAATTACACAGTTGTCGGCACAGCAAATGGTTGGCGGGCGGGAGGCGTTCAGCCAGCCAGCGACCACGAAAGCAGCAACTAAATAAAATTAATCCTCAAATGGCCTCGAGCCCTCGCCCCAGCCAAAAAAGCCATACTTTATGAGCGCGTATTTGGCCAGCAGACTCATACGAACTATTGCTAAAAAGTTGGCCAACAAAACAAAACCACGTTTTAGCCATTAATTCGCTAAGCTCTAACGTTTACCTGGTATGGGTCCGCAGACGCGTGGTATTATTTCCAAAATAGCCGAGCACGAGGGATCCTCGAAGCATAGTTGACGAGCCAATATGCAATTCAATATCGCAACGGCTCCTTTAATGGTCGAACCTGCAAGGAGAGAAAGGGAAAAACATGGATTAGATTCTGATTGCAATAGTGCAACGTAAATGTTTAGTTGATATTTAAGACCAAATTTCCCTCTACAAACAATCGAATACATAGATCGTTTCATTCACATTCATGTTTTATATGTCGCTGTGATTTCAAAATATTCAGAATCAAATTATATTGGAAACATTCCAAGCGTTAACATGGAGTTGGATCCTGACTTTGTCAAAGAATTCGCTTGCCTCAAGATCTCCACACGCGACATAAGTGCCGAGGAGCTGGCCAAGTTCGATGCGAGTGTGCCAATTAAGCCACGCGCCCAGGTGAAGCATTCATCGTTTAAGCATGTGCCACAATTCTTTTATGTGCCGCCGCCACCGGATGATAAGCTGCGGCATTTGTTGCGACGGGAAGCGCAATCGCTATTCCTGCAGCAGAAGTCCGAGGAGCTGCTGGACAACAATGAGCTGCAGGAACTGTGGAGCCGCTTGGAGCAACACGTCACAGAGACAACCGCCAAGAAGCAGCAGCTGATCAGCTACGACGACTACTGCAAGCTGAGGGCTACGCTTAGCAAGAAGTGCCGCAAGTATCTCTCGACCCGTCTCTTTGCACAGCTGCTCAGTGATTCCCCTTACCTGGGCAGCGTGGAGATTGCCTCCGTGTTCAATTACACCATGCGCAAGGTGTGGCTAACGCAGTGTCGCATTGGACTCTCCTTTTACGATGACGTCGGCCAGGGCTACTTGCGTGAGTTCGACTTGGAGAACTACATTACGGACCTGATACCAACACTGGTGCAGATCCGCGATGGCATGGAGCCTGCATTCGAGAGGTTTTATGTGTGCACGGTGGTTAAGAGGTTTTACTTCTTCCTCGACCATTTGCGCACGGGGCGTATACGCATTCGCGATATGCTAGTCTCGGGCATGATTCACAAGTTGATGGAACTGCGCGACGAGCTAAAGCCCTCTGAGTCAGAGCCCATGCAGCTCAACTACTTTTCCATGCCCGCCGTTCTTGCGGTGTATGGCAACTACCTCAAGCTGGACCTGGATCACAATGGCCTGCTCAGCAAACAGGAGCTGAGAAGATATGGCTCAGGCACGCTTACATCAGCCTTTATGGATCGTGTCTTCGAGGAGTGCCACACATACGATGGCGAAATGGACTACAAAACATATTTGGGTTTTGTCCTTGCCCTGGAGAATCGACAGGTGTGAGTTTAAGCTGAATGTTTTTCTTTTCAAGAGACTTGGCTCCAGCAGCTGCCTTTGCATAGCAATTTGTAGCTTGTTTATTAATACCATTATCTGCCTCTCGCATAGACATCCTCCTCGTTGCACTACTTATTCCGAATGCTGGACGTGCAGCACGCTGGCTACCTGACGATGCAGACGCTTAATTACTTTTTCAAAGGGTTGGAAGAGCAGTTGGTGCTAAGTATCGATGCAGTCAGGTTCGAGGATTTCAGCAATGAGATATTCGACATGGTTAAGCCCAAGGATCCGTGCAAGATAACGCTAAAGGATCTGAGCAATTGGTAGGCTGAGCGCATTTCATTTTCTCTTTCTTTGTGTTTTTCACAAAAATTACCGTTTAACCGGCTACGTCCTTCGTGCGCAGCGGCCAGGCAGAGACTGTGGTATCCATATTAATTGAATTTCATAAATTCTTGGCTTACGAGAACCGCGACGACAATCCGCAGAATGCTTAATGGGCGCATGCCACACAGCGGTAGCGGTAGCAGCATCACCAGCACCAGCAACAGCAACCAAAGTAAATGCGGCAACAACATTAAGCGAAATTTAATTAAAATCCCGAACAGACAAATAACATCAGCATGCATACTCCTACGAAAGAGGCGTCAACCCTTTGTGTCTGGCCCCGACTTTGACTACAGAAAGACCCATCCAGACTAACTAAAATTGATGTGAAACTTCTTGTCCACTTTTTGATTCAGCCTTTGAGTAGTGCTCAACAGTGTTGCTCTCTTACTTCAGTCTTGCAGAATGATTCTTACCCATTATCAGCAAGCACTTTGGACCAGACATTTTAATTAACCCATCATATTTTTACTTTATAATTTTCTACAAAGTCCAGCAAAGTAAAAAAAAATTATCTTCATTTAGAGCACATTCTACAGCACTGCGGCTGAGTTGTGCAAATTTTTTATTTCCGTACCAAGACATTTACAGTATCAAACAACAATCATTTAATTATACACGTTCAGCTGATAATATAAATTATTTGTGCATTGACAGTTTGCGCTCATTAAATTCTCAGCAAACGAAAATATTTACTGAATTTGGCTGGGCTTTAAAGTAAAGTGATATTTGTTGCATCTGCCGTAATCTGGTGGTGGCAGAGAGGCAGCATGCGGTTGCTGCTGCCCCAGAGATTATAATAATTTTATGACTCTTGGCAGTTGTTAGAGCGGATATAATGCAGAAGCTCCTACTCTCTAACCGGGCAACGGTTTATAAAACATTCATTTCAATTTCATTTCATTACGTAGAAATAAACCAAGTCATTCAGGCAAGCAGGCAGCCTGGCAGGCAGCCTGGCAGGCAGGCAGTCAGGCAGTCTGACTGTGGGACAACCACATAGTTGAATAAAAGTCAGCGTGGGTGCATTGCTTGGCTGCTGTCCATCTCTATAGGATGCGCTGCGACCAGCGAACAGCCCATCCGGCGAATGCTCAGTAAAAGTTGTAGCTACTTCTGACCTGACTCCCTCTTGCTGCTGGGCGCTCATTAACGAAATGACCGCTTGCATATTGCAAGCAGATGCGGCTGTTTGAAGGCGTGGGGCAGGCACGAGAAATGCCTTCAAAAATTCAGGAATTGCATGCATCCCCGTTCGCAGGAAGTGGCCTACTGCCACTGGTAACTGTAACAACAATGGCTGCTAACTGTAGCAGTCAGTGGCAGTGGCAGTGGAAGTTGCACTTGCAGTTTGCAGTTTGCACCACCAGCACCACCAACACTACCGTCACCAACCGTGCCAAATGCCGCACAGTCAAAAGTTTTGTGGCAGTCGCGGCACTCGAATTGTTTGCGGAAATACAAATAAATAAAATGCTGAACGAAAATTGCGGCAACTGGCAACTTGCAACTAGCAACTTGCAACTTGCAACTTGCAACTTGCGACTTGGGGCGAAGTTGCCCAGTACCTAGAGTTTCGCCACGTGTGCGGGCGGTCTCTCCCTCTCTCTCTCTCTCTCTCTCGGCTTTGGTATGCAAAGTGTTTTATGGTTATTGGTCGCTTAGCAAAAGTAGTTCTACACAGCCATGCATCTGGACTGCCCAGGCTGTCCCGATGACAGCCTAGAAATTATCAACGCCAGCTAGCTGACTGGCTGCCCTGCACCTACCCAGCCACGCACACACAAACGAATAGTCGCCGACGGCCCGATTACCGAGCCCCATGCGACCCATTCGAAATCACTTAAAAACACAAATCAAGCAAAAGTTGAAAACACACAATAACAATTGTTTCGGGACACACCATAAATTTACATGCCAACTGCGGGGGCAGTCACCAGACGCTCACTGCTACGGCTACATAGAAAAAAAATAGGTACATAAATATAGCAGCTACTGCCGCTGCCGCTGCTGTGGCCGACGCCTACGCCTCCACCTCGAAAGACAGGACCAGCGACCAGCAACCAGAACAATTCGTTTCTGTCACAATCAGATTCGGATTGGGCACAAAAATTTGGAGTTCGCGTTCCCATTTCGTATTTCGTATTTCGCGTTTCACATTCGCGTTTCGCGTTCGCATGTTGCCGCCATGTTTCATGAATTATTTTCCTAGCCAAAAACTTTTCCAAACTTTTCACTGCACATAAACAGACCGAGAGGGACGGAGGGAGGGAGAGAGAGAGCGAGCGAGAGCGGACAACATAAGAAGTAGTAGGCAAGACATTCACTGCCTGCTGTCCCTTAGCCCGGCTCTCAGCTGCGTTTCTTTGGCTTGGCGCATATTTCGATTACCATTTTGCCGGCTCCCGGCTAGCGATCGAACTGCAGAAGGAGCTGAAAGTCTGTGCCAATGTTTCACATTTTCTGCAACTGCTGCTTAAATTTCAATTGTGTGGCATGGGCCATGGGCCATGGGCCGCTCGAGTCGAGAGCACTCTGGTGCAGGCTTTAATAAATTATGGCTACATTCCCACCAGTGGGGCGAGATGGGCTGTTTGGGTGGGCCGCTGCTACGACTAGCGCCTTGCCGTGCGCTGGCCGGTGCCATTCACGTCACTTGGAAAAAGTTAATACAACAAATGCGCTTCGCAACAACAGCAGCAACAACAATAACACTCAACGGGGCCAATAACAACGACAACAGCAGCAACAACAACGACAACAATGCTGTAAAACGACCGCATTACGAGCTCGCGAATTGTTGGCGCTTCACATTGGCCGTAAGCTAAAAGAGTCCGGCACTGAGTTGGGGAGTCAGACCAACCGCTGGCAGTGGCAACAGCAACAGTAACAGCAATAGTAACATCAACAACAACAACAACAAAAACGTGGCCAAGAAATGGCAGCTTTACAACTTCCGCCAAGCGACTGTGGCGAGCAGACATGGACGATGAGGACGATGAAGAAGAGAACTGGAACAGAAGTAGGAGTGCAGGCAGGAGACGTAGCTGGTAACTGTAAAATGTATGTTATAGTATTCCGCTTTACTTTTTTTTTGTTTTGGTGGTGAATGGTGGACTCATCTTATGTCATTCGGGATTATTTTGTGGGTTAAAAACTAATTTGCGGTCATGAAGTGGATTTGGTTGTTCGTGTGGGTCCTTTTCGTCCTTTTTGCTGTTGCCTGTTGGCTGTTGGCTGTTGGCTGTTGGCTGCTGTTGACATTGCGCCCAGTCCATTAATATGCAACAAAACTGGAAACTAACTAGCTTTGCCTCATGTTCGCCCGGCCCGTTGACAATTGGCCGCATTCGCCATGCACTTCATTAGCATACAAAAGCCGGTTAGATTTAAGGTACTTATCTTGTATATACACACACCCAAACAGTTTCAATTTGAAAGCTAATGTTTGGGTTCAAGTTCAGCAGAAACAATATTTACCCAGCTGCAGGGAGGCGAGGCAGTTGACCTGTTGAAAGTTCATGAGCAAATTACATTTGATTTCGTTTATGGGTCAGCATCTCGTGCTGGCAGTCGTGCGTTGACATTTCAATTTTAATGGTCGCATATAAATTGACACGAGGTGGCTGGAAAGCCTTCGATTCCGAGCAATCAACAACAGCAACAACGATAACAACGGCAAATTGTCGCCATGGGCATTTTAAATGTGAGATCCCTTGAATCGGATGCTGAGGCTGAGGCTGAGGCTGAAGCGCACTTGCCAGAAATCGAATGAAGGAGGAGGAGGCGAACTGTTGTTGCTGTGGATTATGGTCAATTAAGTGAAAATGGCATTATTGTTATTATCGTCACGACTGTTGTTGCTGTTGTCGTTGTCGTTGTCGTTGTTGTTATGCCTGTCCTTGTTATTGTGTTACTTAATTTTATTGGTTTCAATTCACTTTGCTGAGTGTTCTGAGAATTATTGATTGAATAATTTGCATATGCCAGTAAATTGATCCTAAAACAAACTATTCTGACTGAATCTTTATTAATTTGCTTTTTATTTGTTGTTTTTCAAAATTCTTTAATTTAATCTAAGCCAAGACAAACAAAAAGTAAATATAGTTATTCCATGACATATTTTGGAGTACTCACAGTAAAAGTGATTGTCAAAGAGGATGCCTAAAATTGTTAATTAATAAGCAAGTAATGAATTTTACAGAGCTCGTACCTTTGATCTTCACATTTAGCAGTACGGAAAGCTAAAACATTCTGAAGGCAGTACATTTTTTTAAAGTGTATATTTTTTCCTTTCAGTGAGATGTAGAATATTTATATTAAAAAGGCAAGCAAATAAACGTAATAAGAGAAATACATTGACAACTGTTCAATGTTGTTTGAGGCAATTATCGAAGGCAGAGCAGAATAAACACGTCAATAAACAGAGTTCACAATGATTTGATTACATTATTATAAAACAATTTGCATTCGATAAAAGCCAAAGACAGCAGCAGACGAAGTCATAAAAGTCGCGCCATGAAAATTGAGCGAGTTTTTCCCGTTGCCCCGCCACGGCTTGATGGGCCATTTTTGCTGGCTTTGAAAGCCTCACAAAGAAAATATGCAAAACGTGCATAAATCTCGCCGTTTGATGGGTGAAAATTCGAAGGGGACGAGGGCACAAGGCAAGGGGAAGCGAAGGCAGTCGGAAATCACAGAGTCCGCATTCAGAAAGTCTGCCGAAATCGAAACGCGTTAGTGGGGAAACAATTTGCAGAGCGCGCGGCAGCTGTCAGAGACGAGGCTCCGAGGCTGTGAGGCTGCGAGGCTGCGCATGCAGAATAAATGATTTTCTATTTGTTAAGTCAAAGTGAAAATTCTTGGCCTATGCGAGTGTGTGTGCGTGTGTCTGCGTGTGTCTGCGTGTGTGTTTGTAGGCTTTGAGTGTTGACATTTCTTTGAGCCGCCATCACTCACTGCAAATACAGACGAATCCGTTGCGAATGCAAAGAAAACATTTGAGCTTTTACATTTTCTCACTCGTCTGCCGAAATTGTGTTTTGGACTCGTCGCACCCCCGTGCCCAGCTATGAGTCCTATTGCGTCTCATTTACGAGCCGCACATATCATAGGCGTGTCGGGCTGACACTCCTGCACATCCCGAAAGAGGTCAAAAGCCGGCACATATGTCAAGTGTTGGCAGAGAACCGAACTGAGCTGAAAAGAGGCCAACATTTTGTGACCGTCCGTGCGACCAGGCGACCAGGCGACCAGGCGACCCTGTCGCATGCTGCACGCCTTGCCCCTGGCTGGCGTGCTTAGGAAATATAAATTTTTATTCTTATCTTTTGCATTCTTGCTCTCACTTTTGTTCCATTTTTATGCGATGCGATGCTGCTGCTGCTGCTGCTGCCTTATCCTTTTTTCTCTCGTCTTTTTTACGTGTGTTTCGTTCATTGTTGTAAATTATTTATGCCTGCGTAAAATATTCAAAGCTCGGCGCACTGACGCGAAATGTGAAAGAGAAAACGCACTACAGCAACTGGCAACTGGCAACTGGCGGCGGCGCAACGCGGGGGCAGCAGCAACAAAAAGCAGTCCAAGTTATTATTCATAACACAGCAGCATTAAAGTGTAAGGGAGTATGCGACAATTCCCACAACCATTTGTCCAACCGTACCGACTGCCGC